TCAAATAAAAGATACTTGTTCCAACAACTGCAGAGCAGCTAATTAGAGGCCCTTCATAGATGATGTTACAGCCATGCCATTTATCTTGTGCAACATTGATGGTGAAAGCAGCAAAAATACAGAATGAGAACCAGAAGTTCGGTGAAGTCTTCCAAAGAATGACACTGTTGCCAGAGGGAGGAGATTTTTTCCGTCTCTGTAAGCCAAGGGGCAAGACCAGAGCAATTGCTACAATGGCTGGTCTATGATAGAAATTTTAAAAGTACAAATAACCATTTAAGAAGGAAAAAGCCACAAATGCACAATCTAATTTTCATTATTTTAATTAATTCTAGTTAAAGGGTTTTTCAAGTGACGTAGCCAAGTCCCAATTGAGTGATTGTTGCTGCAGCCAGAATTGAGTTATTTTGAGTTATTAAAACTGAAACTGTGAAAGGACTTGATTAGGTCCTCGTCAGACATGGTGCCCAAGCTTGCTGAGAGGTGTGGGTTGGTAAAGATCCCATTGGGAAGCTAATCCATCCTTTATTATTTTGTCCTCTGGGCAAAACAAAATGATTCAGATTTGGAAATAAAATAGTCAACGGGAGGAAATGTCATTTGTGCAGTCATGGGAAGTCAACCCTAAGGATTCTTTCTGTATTTTACAACTTGATTTCATTTTTATTTTGTGTCTGAGTCTCCTCATGGAAGAGATTTCCAATAGGTGATGGAATATACAGACAGAAGTGATGGATTGGGGAGAAATCAGCAAGAGAGGTACAGGAAGGCTAGAGCATGTATTAGGTCAGCAGGAAGCATGTGCTGAGAAGAGACAGGAGGAAAATTATGAGGATATGGTGCCATGGAAGGTGAGGGAAGAGAGTGTAAGAGAAGGTAACAGTGACCAACAAGGTGAGATGCTCCCAAACGGTCAAGAAGTGTTAAGGTTGACAAGTGTCCCTTGGAGATGAATGTGACTCTGAGCAGAGCAGTGTTTGAGGGATGGGAGCAGGAGCGAGACCGTAGTGCGAAGAGGCATGAAGGGGAGAGAGTGAGTGTAGACTGAAGTCTGAGTCCATAAATTCACTGTCCTAGGTCTAACAATGAGATCAGCATAAGTCATGGCCTGTTTTCTCCAATCCTCATCCTTTGTTTCCCTAACTAGTCGTCATATGGCATGCTCTCATGGAACACCCTCCTCTGCATGTTCTCTTGTATGTCAGTGTCTCTTCAAATGTGGCCCTGGATTGGATGCAACACTCCAACTAATGTGGTTAGGGCCAAGGATGCTGACTCGTACACTTCTGGTATTGTAAGCTGAGGTTAAATGGGCGAATTGTTAGTCAAGACATAACGTTGGACTGTATTAAGACTATAATCTTCAGGTCAATTTTACATGAATTATAATGGTTTCATAACCATACATAGGATATTATTCCTAGTAAGTTATATTTGACTGTTTTACCTGAAAATTTTTATCACCTCAGGTTCCTCTGTATCCTGATTCTCTGGTCTGTAGAGCATTATTCATTTGCATTTGACCCCTTGGCCATTGGCCTCTTCTTCAAAGATTGATAAAAATGTCAAACAAGATGGTGCCTGTTTCAAATACTCCAAAATGATAGGTTTCTTTGGTTAAAATGATCTATTATTGAACCCTTTTGGGAGAGCACTATTCAAACAACTTGGTAATAATAATAACTGATCTTTACTGAGCACTTCTTATTTGCTGGGTAATTATCACAGCAATGCTGCAATGTAGGAAATATTATTATCCCCATTTGACAGGTGAGATGATTGAGGCAAATACAGGTTGTCCACAGTCACAAAGGTTATAGGTGACAAAGCCAGGTACTTTCTCCAAGGCACTGTGGCTGAGGGCCATTGCTCTAAGCCATGACCCCACACACTCTCTATCTGTACTCTCTTTCATGGTTTTCTGTCACCCTTGGAGGTGGCATGAGAGACTGTCCATGGAGCCCTTGGATCTACCACTCTAGTGACACTATTGCAAAGAGAAATTTATGTTACCTTAGCATGACTTCTTCATAGGTAAGCAATGGTCATTTATTATAATCACCTCTTTCTTCATTACATGCTGGCAAATTATTTTTAGCATCTGATTTAGAATTTTTCCAAAAATTACTGCCAATCTTACTCATCTGTGAGATTCCAGAATAAATCTTTTGCACATTTGTGAAGTCAAACATCTTCTCTTGAGACCTTGCAATCCTCCTATTTTTCTCTGTTCTGCTTTACACTCTTCGTTGCAGGTACGCATTCAGACTAAACCACGTGGGAAAGATTCACGTTTGTGAAAGGACTGCTCCTCTGAGGGAAGTAAGAGGGCTCATGACAAACAGAACGAACTGAAAAGCCAGGAGAGGGCAGGTACAAAGGCAGCTCAGCGGATTCTCCCCTCTTTCTTGGCTTTGTTCCTTCTCCCTGCATACGGATACTCCATTCCCATCTCTCCCCTCAAAAGCTTCCTTGGAGTTTCTGCAACCTCACAATTTTAGCTACAGTACGGCCACCCCAGCCATGACTTTACATGACCATTACCTCAAGTGCTTACAACCAACCAGACTTTCCCTTGGTGACAAGTGACCAGCACAGGTGGCTAATCTTTTTGAGCCTGACAGCAAAGGCGTGGATGCTTATGGATGGGCGCCCCTTAGGCAGTACGAGCAGCTCTGGCCAGGAGCGGTGAGGTCCAGCCCTCCGGCCAGCGTTGCTCACAGACCATGTGTGTGGGCTGAGGCAAAATCTCTGAGCAGGGGCTGGGGCTCTGCTGGCATGCTAAAGCGCCTCGCAAACACCCACGAATTCAGCAGGACCACAAAATTAGCTCTGTAGGAACCGTCCCTTTCAGTACTGCAGGATATAATTCACTTCAGCCTGAAAGAATTCATTTAAAGGAATTGACTGTCTTATCTTCTAAATTGGATTTCAATGTCTATTCTTCCAGTTTAAAAATCCTCCTAAGCATGTGGACTTGTCCTTCATCACGCTGTGCTATCTTCTGCAAGTGTCAGCCCAATTCATATTTTTATCTTTCTTTGGCCCCAGTCACAGCTTTAGAAAATAGACATCCTTTCCAGCTGTGCTGTTTCCCAAAGTTTAGCTAATTTCTATGTGTGCCGATAAAATGGTCAGAAAGCTCCTATGTAGCTCCATGGGTTTCTTCTTGATTTCCTCAGAGGTTTCCCCTTTTTTTGCCCCCAAATTTATTCCTGACTTTGTGGGCAGAATTTAATTTTTTTAGAATTTATCGTTTTTCTTTTCTTTTTTGCTTCTCTTTTTTCTTTCATTTTTACTTTTTTTGGTCCATGGGCTCCCATCTTTTTTTTGAAGTCTGACTCCCTAAAACCTTAGGCCCATCACCGATGTATCCAGTCATCACAGGCTCTCGGGGAATTGATCACTCTCCCCTAATGTTTTGGTCATGTCTACGTTAACAACCACTTCTCTGCTGGCCTGTTAGTCTGGAGTAGCCCATGTCTTCACTATTTTCTTTACTTTTTGGGAGAGGAAAGTATATAAAGAATTCATCAAGGGCCATGCTTTTCTCAGAACAAGACATCTAGGAGATGTCCAGGAGATTAAAATTATCTCCCCATTGCCACCTCTGTGTGTCTCTTTTTGTTGCACTTGTGATGATATATTTCTTTCGTAAAAAATTGCAGTCTCTACTGAGGAAGAAGCTCATGGTGGAGGATAAAGTCCCTATAACTGGCTGCTGAATCTGGTGGCATTCCAGAAGCATCTAGGGATCCTGTTAGAAAAACATATTCCTAGACCTCACCTAGCAGGAGGTGGAGGTGGGGGCAGATGAAAATCCCTGGGGATCCCAAGGGAGCTAGCGCCCCACAAGCCCTTCATCCAGCACTTGAGACCACTGTCTGTAGTCCACTTCCACAATGACAGCACAGTTTATCCTCACTTCATAGCTCTTTCTTGGGGGCTTATAAATATTTCAATGGGTGTCTACTTATCACATACCTTTGAGTGCTATTAAATGTTTTTTTTCAATACGTCTTACTTTTCCATGCTATAGCTGAATTATATGCTTCATCTCATCAAGGCCTGGTGCTACTGTAGTTATTTTTATTTCATTATGCAAAAATGCCAGATTTACTTTGCAGTTTTTGTGTTCTGATTCTAAGCTTTCTCCCTCCTTTCTGTATTTGGCACCTTCGCCACTATCATCTTCCATAACATCCTTTCATATCTTTCTATGCCTTCCCCATTTCCACGATGTCAGTTTCAAGTCCTCTTGATTATGTCAGTGACTTCTGTCAAATGCATTTCCCTCCAGTCTTTATAAGATTCATTTCATCTCTCGCCAAACCCTCTTTCTGATGTCATCCTGTTCACCAGATGTTTATATCATTGTTTTTTACACTCTCATGTGCTCCTTTCCATTGCAAAATACTGTGTTTCACTGAAAGAATGGATGAAAACATCACCAATGTCCCCGAATCTTTCAGTCCTACACCTATGTTTTCTCAGTCTGTAACCTGAGCAACCTTTCCCCACCGTGACTGTGAAGTGTCAGGCCCATGTGATATTGTAATTAGTTGAGGTAATACCGCCTGTTGTTACGAAGAAGTCCTAAATTCTCAGGTGCTTAACACAATACAAGTTTATTTCTCAGTCACATCAGGGTCCAGTGCAGGTGTTTCTTGGCTTCCACGTGGTGATTCAGTAACCCAGACAAAGGGGAAGTCGATGTGGGGAAACCACTGTTGACGCAAATAATCTATAACTAATCTATAAATCACAATTGGGGTGAGTTTATTATGAGCCAGATGTGAACACCATATAGCCTGGGAGAGTCCTTCGACAAAGGAATGGAGCACTCCAAAGAAGTGGGGTGTACAAAGAGGTTATATACCATCAAAGAGCATGTACCACATATGATTGAAACGTCCCTTTTACAATAGTCACGAGACTGCTCTGTCGGCACAGTGATTGATGGACACAGCAGGTCGTAGGTCTGCTGTCTCGGTGGACACAGCAGGGTGGCAGATCTGTTGTCTCGAGCTGGGTGGTCACAGGTGAGCACAGCAGTCAATTCCTGGTCTAGGGAGAGATGCTTATCCTTAAGGAACTGCCAGTGTAGAGGAAGTTGCACCTCTATCCTAAGGCCATTTGTTCTTGTCTTTGGGACATAGCAAATGCTTAAAGCAGATATACAGTGCATGCTCAACAGCCATGTCAGGGCCTTTTGGAAAAACAAGGTCAGGCCGAATCAGGCTTACACCAAATGGCTTCCTCATATACTCCAGTATGTCCTATTGCTTGCCATTTATCACCACATGGCTGTCTCTGCCACAAATGTTGGTAGATTTTCACAAATAAAGAAACCTGTGTTCTAATAAATGTAGGAAATGCCATATTAAACACAGTTAAACAGTTTGTTGTTTTGTTCTGCTTTTCTGTGGTGCTTCCTCAAGCTATTAGTATCCTATTAGTTGCATATTTATTCAACCTTCACTCATTTATCCATTCGCTCAGTCATTCAAATACGTTTTAGAGATGTAGGCCGTGGAAATATACCTGTTTTAGCCTCAGTTTTCCTTGTCTTCATGGTGGAGATAGATGTTAGTTAATTTATCTCACAGTACAAATTTAATTAGAGCTGGGTTAAGGAGTATTGTGGGGTGCTCTGAAGACATGAAGTGGAAGGACCAAGCTCTTCTGTGTGTCTGGAAAGGCATCCTTGAGGAAGACCCAACAAGGTGTCAAGGAAGCTGGAGGTTTCACTAGAGGAAGTTGTGTCTGAGGAACTGACACTGGTGAAAGTGGTCGGGACAGATTTTTATCAGGAGTATACAAGTGCAGCAGGGAAAGAGGATCCACTTCAGCCTGTCCAGAGATGACTGGGCATTTTAAAGGGAGAATCAGGGAGCAGGGAGGGGGACCCACAGGGGCTCGAGCAGAGTCAGGATGTGAGCAATTATAAGGGATGGTCAGCGTTGATGTGCTGAGGCCAGCTGCGTCTGTTAGCTGGCGGTGATGGAAGTTAAGAGTCTTCCTCCCACAGAGACTGGGGGACAAGCTTTCATGATGATTACATTTCAAAGGTATGGCTTTCACATCCCTGAGAAAGACACTCCTGAGTTGTAGGAGATACATATACATCTCAAAAGGACTCAGAGGACTCGCCGTTGTAAGCCTTTGTAGGAAGTGATCTAAGAAAGGGTGGTCAGGGGCCATCCTCAGACGGTGGCTGGAACAAACAGTAAATGCTTTTGGCAGCCTTGAACTTTCTCAGGCAGATACTGTTAAGGGGGGCTAGGATCATCTTAGGGATGTGGCCTTGAGCTGTTAGAAACTATGTTAGTGTTTAAGTCTTTTAATGGGTGGAGGGTGAGTGGATGAAATCATTTGTGCTGAGAGCCTATAGTTTTGTTTTGTTTTGCTAAGGAAGATTAACCCTGAGCTAACATCTGTGCCAATCTTCCCCTATTTTGTAGGTGGGTTGCCCCCACAGCATGGCCATTGACAAGTGGTGTAGGTCTCCACCCAGGAACCGAACCTGGGCCGCCAAAGCAGACTGCACCAAACTTAACCACTAGGCCATAGGCTGGCCTCAAGAGTCTATAGATTTTATAGGCCAAGTTTGAGGCCTAGATGAGAAGGCTAGAGTTGGGTCAAAGAGAGAATCTTTGTCAGAACTGAAAGGAGACCAATGTGGCTGAGGCCAAGCGTGAGGCTTCCAGGCATGCAGGGACCTGCAAGTGTAGCATGTCGTGAGCATGGGAAGAGTTTCAATGACGTCCCTAAGAGCAGCAAGAGATCTTTCAAGAGTGTGAGCAGGGAAATTGCTCATGTTGCTCAGGCTGGCCCTTTTAGAACTCTGGCTTCTAGAATAAATTGAAGGGAGGTAAGAGTACTTGTGGAGATCCAGTAGGAGGGTTGCTGCTGTCCAGATGAAAGAGATGGCACCAGTTCTTCACATTGCTGTGGAGGGAGAACATGGCACAAGGATTTGAGAGTGCTTAGGAGGTAAAATCGACAGAAATGGACGAACCATTGGATCAGGGTGGGGGGGTGGCAGTAATACAGTGAAAGAAAGAACGACATCAGGATGCCCTGTAACAGGCTGCATCCAAGAGCAACAATCAGGAGAGATAGTGGGGCCTCCACTCATGGAGGAAACACCGAGGGGGACACCAAAGGCAACATTCCAGATAGAGTAGTCTTTGCCTCAAATTCTAACTGATTAACATTTATTGGACGTTTGTATTCCACAGAACATTCTTAGGGAAACATTCAAGAGATGTTTTCCATGTTTATTCCACTTTTATTCTCGTACAAAGAAACAAAACTTTTAAGTTCCTGAGATATTAGAAAGTTCTCCTTCACATCTCAAATGTTTATTTTGAGAATTACAGTAATAAATGTCTACCACATGCTAGGCACTATTATAGATACTTTGATAGAGATTGTGGCTTATCTTCACAGTAGTCCAGTAAATGGGTATTTTTATGCTTGTTAACAGACAGGAGAACTGGGACTCAGATAGGGAACAATACTCAAGATCATGCTGCCAGGCAGTGATGGAGCCCAGCTTCGTGCTCAGCTCTGTCTAAACGGGTGTGTCTGCAGCCCACCTGGGTTCAAAGCTTGGTCCCTCCTCAGCAATGTGATCTTGGGCGTGGGATTTATCCTCTAACTGGCTTGGTTTCCTCATGTGTAAAATGGAGGGAATAATTACACCTACTCATAAAGTTGTTATAAGATTAAATGAGATAATCCACACACCTGGCAAATATTGAGTACTCAAGAAATGCTTCTTCTTATCCCCCGACACTCCTTCTGGAGAGAGCTTAGCTCCCATGTGGGCATTCAGATTCTTCCTCCGACCTTTCAGGATGTTGCTTCTCATCCTTATTGCAGCCTCCATCTCTTGGAAGTGCCACCTCCATTCCTCGTGACCTGTCAGTTATGAGTGTGCACAGCTCTTGACAGGACTTTCATCTTTTTTATCCTTTTAAAGACTTTGCATCCTCTCTAATAAGTAAAGGGTAAACAGATGTTTGTGTTTGTAACACACATCACTGCTGATCACATGAAGACATAACAGATTCTGTACAGTTCTCAGAAACAATGAACCTCGATTTCACAATTTTTTGGTTTAAAGATAAACCACAACTCCAGACACTGCTCTGTTGTTCTTGGGAGATTCACTGGAATCAGAACTGCTGAAGCCAGCTCTCTTCTGTCTGCAGACTTCTGTGGGATGCCAATAATAAGCAAAGATCATCTCTTGCTCACTCACAGGAGAATGTCTTATGGGTGCCCAGGCTACATGATGGAATGTACAGTCTTGCTCGGTAGTCTTGGTAACTGTTCAGTCTAGCATAGTGCTTAGGAATGAAGACTCTGGAGCCAGATAGCCAGGGTTTAAACCCAGACTCCGCCACTGACTAGCCAGGTAATGTTGAGCAAGTTACCTACCTTCTAAGTGCCTTACTTTCCCCATCTGTAAAATGGGTTAATCAGTGTAAATGAGTTTATATATATATATATGTATATATATAAAGAGCCAGAACAAAGCCTGGCACATAGTGAACACTTACATAAATGTTCACTCTCGTTATTTGCACTGATCCTGATAGAAGAGAAGCACCTCAGTTAGCTATAGAGAAGTTCACAGATAGAGAGCATTCAATTCTTTAGGCTGAGATATAATTAATGGTTCTTTCCTCCAGACATGTACTCTTCCTCTTCTTTCTGTCTGCAGCCTACTTCATTAATGCGTTTTGATACCTCTCACAAAGGATAAAACGATGTCAATATTTTAGTCCACTTATTTTACTCCAAGCTCTGTTAAGAAATATAATGAAGAAAATGTTAATTCCGTTAACTAACAGGAGTGTTGGGTATTATCACTGTAGCTTAAAAAATTGTTTTCCTCATTCTCTATTATTACAGAGAATAAGGACTTTGCGGTATTCTCGAACTTAACAATTCTTATTTTTAAAAAATAATTACTAATGAAGGAAACAAGAAAAATTCTTCTTGAATAGTTGTTGCCTTTCAGATTGTTGAATTACTAAACTTCTATGTACCTTGGTTTCCAGAACTTTAAAACGAGGATAGCAATACTGCCTGCATTATAAAGCTGCTAGGAATTTTAAATTAGCTAATACATACAAAGGACCTAGAACAATCCTCAGCTATAAATATGATTTATTATTATTTCAACATAAACGCAATTTTATACATTACTTTTTGCTCTCAAAAATATTTTGCAGTAAATGAAAATCTATGGTTTCCAAAACAGCCTTCTTAATGGTGAATAACATAGATTGGCCCCACATGTTGAAAGCAGGGCTTGGCCTCTCAGTTTTTCTACAAAAGCCACAAGGATTCTATATCTGAATCTGAGAAGAGTAGTGGTTAAGATCCCATTTGCTGGTTGGAGAGATGCAAAGAAGCAGGAGAGATTTCACATCTTAGCAGCAATGGGTCTGAGCTGACTTTCATCATCCTGGCACCTCCTTGAGCACTTCCTGGGCAAATGAGTCATGCTTCCTAGAACTGTCTGTCAGAGGAAGTTTGCTTCTAGGATGCCTGGCATTTTGCTTAGAATTCAGAGATAAGCTATTTCAATTCTGAGGGCAACTGCTTTTCCAAAACAGGCATAAAAAGTGATAGCAGTATACCAAACAATTCAATTTATGTCTCCATGCCAGATGCGAGTCTGGCATTGTACTGAGCATGATCTGGATTCCAAAGGAGTCTAGAATGAAATGCATCCATTGGTTAATTAGGCCACATACTTTTTAGTGTTGTTAAGCGTTACAAGATGCATTCTCTAAGAAATTTAAGACTCCAAAGTTGCCCGAATAAAATGTGTTTTTTTCTAATTATAGAAAATTAAAAGGAGAGATGTTTATCTCAATGTGATCCAAATCCCTTTCCTCAAAAGGAAATGCTGATCTTTTCTGACCATCCCTCATAAAGAAGAATTTTCAAGCGATTGCGTTAATTTGCCGCAGTTAATGAAGCAAACACACCAGCCTTCAAAGGAGAGCCTTTGCCCTCAGATTCAAAAGAAAGTGTGTTTCCCTTCTCATTGTTCTCTCAAACATGAAGGACAGAATCAGGATGAATAATAATCAGGCCTACCAATAATTTCCACTCTACCCTGAAGCCAGTTAAAATTGCATTCAATGCTCAAAACTTGAAATTGCTCTTTCCACACTTCCTTTCCTGGTGGTCCTCACCTGGCTCTGCCCCTCAGACAGGCCACGTGTAGTGAGTGCATGGAAAATCTCTTCCGCCACCTAACAGACACACACAGGAATAAGAATACAAAGGTCAGGGCCGAGTGGTTAAGTTCGCACACTCTGCTTCGGCGGCCCAGGGTTTCACTGGATCGGATCCTGGGTGCAGGCCTAGCACTGCTCATTAAGCCATGCTCAGGTGGCATCCTGCATGGCAGAGCCAGAAGGACCCACAACTAGAATATACAACCGTGTACTGGGGGGAGCTTTGGAGAGAAGAAGAAGAGAAAAAAAAAAAAGAAAGATTGGCAACAGATGTTAGCTCAGGTGCCAATCTTAAAAAAAGAATACAAATGTCAGAATGCTAAATTTTGAAATTAGAAATTGTTGTGCATTTTGATCAATTATATTGATTGTCTACTTTTGAAAATGGGAAAGATTTCCAATTGCAACATTTCAGAATTTTTTAAAAAAATGCCATCTTTACCCTTCAGTTCTTACATTTACTATTTATTTAATAGGTTTTCTTCTCCCACTCTCCCTGAATTGCAGAAACGTCTCTGTGGCAGGCTCTAGGTCCTTCCAGCTCAAGGTGCTATGATTTCCTGGTGTTCTCTGAACCACATTCTGAGTCCATCTGTAGCGCAGGCTGAGGCTTTCAGGAGGCAGGATGATATTTTAGAAAAATGTTCAGTGTTTTACTGCGGTTCGTGGAACTAAATGTTCATGTATACAAGGGAGAGTACGCTTGGCTTTCAAAGCATTTCACTTACCACCAGGGAGGGAATGAGGCACTGATTGCTCCATCAGCGACTGTCAACACTTATGTTTGCTAGAAGTCTTTAGTCCCCGAACATCTGAAGGAATTCTGTTTTAATAAAGAATTGGTCTAATTAATAATAAAAACCTAGCTATGCTAAGAAAGGAAGCATTAGGGACAAAATATGGTTTTAAATTAATGCTGAAGGAGATTGCCTTACATAATGACATTTTAATGGGCTCATTTTCATGTATAATGTTGAGGTATGTATAAAAGACTATGCAGATAGACAGTGTAATATTTTCAGCAGACCAGCTGATATCTGAGAAGCTGAAGGGGTATGGAATTCTGAGACTGAGAAAACATTACAAATGCGTATCTACAGTGCTGTGTCCATAGGTCCCCAAAGATAATACTTTAAACATAAATTTATCTGATCACACAGGAATACATAGTCATGGTGGAAATTCGTAAAATATAGAAAAACCTAGATAAAATAAAAATAACCTAAATTACCTCACTACTACTAATATTTGGTGGTATTTATTTCCTGTACTCTCTCCCTATATATTTATATTAATAGTCAAAGGGGATGATTCTGTACATATTATCCTATGACTTTTTCCTATGTAACAATGGCTTGTGAATGTTTCTCCATATTATTTATTATACCACATCATTTACAATATTGCGTATTCTAGCATCACAATACAGCCACCAAGTCTCATTGTGGAACAATTAGAATCTTTTCAAATTTTCACTATTATAAACAATGCTGAGATAAACATCTTTGTAGTTAAATCTTTGCACACATCCATTACTAGATAATGATTTAAAACAAGCCCAAAAAACGAACAAACCCAAATCAGACTTTGTGGTCTCTAAAATGAGTAATGTGTAGAAAGCAGAAAAAATCTCATTGTAGAGCGGACAGCAACCGGCTACAATGGGAGGGAGACTATATGGTCTGTGTTTGAGACAGACCTCTAACTCAGAATGGCACAAAGTAACTCAGAGCGTGGTCTTTCGATGGGTTTCTTGCTCTTATGCAAAGCCCAGCATTATGAGTAATTGTTTAATTTTAGATAGGGATGTCATATTTCCTGCCCCACCTTGTGAGCATGTGGCAGTGTGGCTTTGCCTGTGCCGGGGGGAAGATGTGTGCCTATATATCAGAGTGCTCTGTGCGTGGCGTGTGTCTAATGGAGGAGACATCGCCTCCCGGGGCCATCATGGAGCCATCTAGAGTCTACCACTCTCTGCTTATTAGCATTCCTCTTCAACATCTGCCTAATTTACCCTCCACAACTGGATGACATTTTTACCCCCCTAGGCTTTTCTTATCCACAGTGGGAGCATTTTACCCTACTCTATGAATCTCATTTGGCAGTTTCTACCCTTGTGCCAGGAGTATTTCAAAGCCCGTCAAATTGAAAGTAAACTCTGAAAGTTCTAAGCTTATTCAGGAGGTTAGTGTGTAAACTTGGGCAACAACATTCTTAATAACTACTCTAATAAGGCAGTTTCCATAGATCTTGTAACAATTGTTTCTTGGGGTGGGGAAAATCTGAAGAGGTGCTCCAAGATTCACCAATTCCCACCCCTTTGCAGCTTCAGTGGCTAAGCAACTAGAGCCGCAGCCTGGCTGGACAGAAAGGGGAGAGGAGGCTGGAACGGGAAAAAACACACAGAGAGCCATTTTTCTTACCAGTTGTCTCTTCCTATCCACCTCACCAGGGCAGCCTTGACAGATTTCCTAACCTGTCTTCACCACCATCCTATTTTATCATCCACCATCTCCCTCAACTCCAGCACACGTACTACACTTACATTCTCCCCAGCAGCGTGATCTGCACTGGGCTATGGACCCCACCCGTGGCCTCAGTCTCCACACAGAACCAGGTCGTCATAGCAACACGCTGCAAGTAATGGCTGTCTATCTCCTCCCAAGTGATTCATTGACTCGCTGCTTCCCTGTCTGCTGGGCCAGGGATGATTTCTGTGAAATGTTTTATATGAGTCAGCTCAAGTTCTCTCTACCCATCATATTTTTTCTCTCAAAGCTATTTCTGGAGTGGTTTCTTTGGAAAAATGTTAGTTCCCTTTGCCTCTGACCAAGAGTTAGAATAACATTTTGAGCACATTCTCCATGCCAGGCCTCACACTCAACCTGTTACGTGATTTGTCTCCTTTGCTGTTTACAACAACATTAGGAGATAAGAACTGTTACGATGCCAGATTTATAAAGACCTTTCAGCTTAGAGAGGTTAAGTAATTTTCACAAGATTATATTCTAAGCAAATTTTAGAGCTGGATTGGACTATGAACCTAGAGCCTGACACAAACCACATTGAATATTCTCTGTATGTTCCTATAATAAAATTACTTTCCTGTTTCTAAGTGAAATATAATCTTCTGTTAGTTACATTGACTTCAAAAAGCCATGCTATGAACTCACTGAGCCTAGTTCTCAGAAATTTAGCTATCTTCTTTACATTGACCAGAATTTTTGTTCTCCGCAAATATTAGGGGATTCTCTGCTACATCTAGAATTCTCCCTCACAGCAGATGAATTATTTCAATCACATATTAAACTCTAAAGGATAAAATTTTTTTCGAGATTTGTCATAGGAAATGGACCAAATTTTTTTCCAGAAATTTCTCCATATTTGAATGATATCATCCCAAAGAAATTTTGATTTAATTTCTCTGTATGGACTATGTTTAACTAATTCTTAAAATTAATCCTCCACTATAAAAAAGAATTTTCTTGCAGAAAAACTTCAAGTAAATAAGAAAAACAATACTGGAAAAAGTATGAATTATATGCCAATCTAAAATAGAAAGGGCTGCGTCTTAGTTGTTACTCACTGTGATTCTAAAATGGGTTTAGAAAAGAACCCATACAGCCTGTGCTCAGATATATGAGACAGTTAATTATAATTTCATTAATTACAATCACTAATTTCAAAGTCATAAAACAATTTAGCAAGAAAGAGGCACTTGAAAAGCACACTTCTGTTTTGAAAGTTCTTGCAGTTCATAAAGTTGACTCCCACTGAGGGGACAGATTGAGGTACACATTAGCTAACTCTGGGTTCCTCCAGACTTGAGTTGCAATGATTCCTAAAGTATCTACAAAACCCTAATCATACAAAAATTGGACTATCTCTGTCAGGGATGTATCTTTGGCTTTATATCTTCCACCTTGTATGTATGGGTCCTTAATATTTAGAAGGAGTCCATGGATAGTTACTTATTGCAACTGGAGTCTGAAGTCACTCATAGGCTATGCATGTGGCAAGTTATCAAACACACGCAAAGGAAGTAGATAGAAATTGGTAAATGTGGCTTGGGCAAGAGGTTTCCTTCCTCTTTGAGTGTCCTAAGAGTGGTTGAGATATTTCGGGGTGGGGTAGGGGTAGGAGGACCTAAACTACAAGAATCCTAAATGAATAGTCTTCCGAAGAGAATAACTGCAAAGATTCTATACAGGAGATTTTGTATATACACATATTCACATTTGAAGATACATTTAACAGCTAACTTGAAAATGTAAGCAGCATTTCAGGTATTTTAAAAAAACAACAACCACCTCTAAACACAGTTATACAAATTAGATCTGCATATTCAAAGTGAAAATCTCAATCTTTCTCTTCTTAATTTCTAGCAGTTTCCTTTATATGGACTTAATTTCCAACCTCAGATATTGTTCAGACTGAGTAGAGCTTTAGGCTTTCTAAAAGAAGGGAAATCATACCCTTAGCAGGACCAAGCCAGCATGCTTGCCAGCAGTGGCAATGAGTCACAGCTGGAATGTCCTGTGGTTAACATTCTGCTCTGAAAACAGAATCAAGAGCAGCAGGCACCAACTGGTTGCCATGGTAACTAGTATTTGTGTACTTTGAAAAATGACTATTTCTTTTTGTGTGGTAAGTTTACGCGGGAATGAATTGTAGAGGTGACGTTAGCCATCTGTGTGACTATCAACAAAAAACCCTGATTTAATTAAGTGTAAACTTTAGAAGGATATAAAACTGAGGGAATGGGGTTTTTTTTTGTATAGAGGTATTGTTATACACTAATTAATTCGTTAATTTATTTGACGTTCTATGTAAGCATTTTCATCAATGTCTATTTCATGTTCATTTCAATGCATCCTTCTTGCCTCTCCAAAGACAAAATGAAACTAATTGTCATTCATCAGCATCACCCCCCCAAACCCACTCCCTTTGCCCTGCCCCCCTCCCATTCACAATGTGTTATTTAAGAAGGACTGGGATTCAGGGGCTCCCCTTCAGTGAAGTAATCCCATCCGGAAGGAAGGAAAAAAAAAATCCCCTCCAAGTCATGTGAAAATGTCAGGTTTTTTAACCTTGCTGAGCTGGGAGGCAAAAATCCCATCCTGCTTATGACCTTGTGTAGAATCTAAAATATGGTTCCTCAAAGGGTCGCTGCTGAGTATTTCAGAAGATCCATAAAGCTTAGAGTTGTTACAGTTCTAGAGAAATCCTGCCTTACATCTTGTTGGATAAAGGTGAAATAAAGTTTTGGTTAGTGAACTACAATCCAAAGTTAAGAATGAGCCTTTTGGGGTGGAAAACAGTAGAGTGTTTTCTTGCTTATTATGCCTCTGCTTGGAAACAGTATGTTTATTTTTGTATTAATTAGTTTTGAATTGGAATTCATACACTAGATTTAATAAAAACTCTGAAGCTGAAATAAATACTCTACAGTAAAGCAGTAACTTTGGAGTAAACAGATTGCAACATGGACCTCTGCCCCCACCTCCACCTCCTGCTAGCTGGTGGGACCTGGGATCTGAGGTGAAGGGCTTTTGCTGTTTTCTCTCTTCTTTTTATGTTGCTTCATTCTTTCTTTCATCCTCACTCCCTCATTATGGCTTCTGTCGAATATCTAGAATACTAGAAACTTGATCTAAAGATACACATTCAAAGCAGCAGTATTCAAAAAATAAAAAGGAAGTTGGAGCGATAAGCCTGAAAAAGAAACCTCATCAGTGTCTTTACTCATTTGCTTAAAATGCTCAGGTTTAGTATTTAAAGGTGAGTGATATAAAGGACTTCTGAGTTCCTCTTTTTAAATCTCAGCTGACCTCCCCCCAGACCTCACAAGCATGTATGTCTGACGAGCAGCCAGTTTGGAGAACTCAATGAGACAGGCCAACATTTAGAAATCTGTGATTTATTGTGATCTTGAACAAGGCCCTGCCTGGTCCTCCTCTGCAGAGTGGCCACAAACGATCCAGACCCTTTGCTGCCTAAAAGAAGCTCGCGGAAACTGAGGACTGCGAGACCCTGAGATGGATCTAACTATGCAGGGCTCAAGGCAGAGGGCAGATTAAATCCCATTGAAATAAATGCTGTCGTGGGGCAATCATTGTGTTCATTCACCGACGATGTATTGGGAATCTGCCCTTGACAGAGCCCCGCGCCAGGCAGTGAGGGGAATGGGGGAGCTGATCTGGGCTCCAAGGAAACTCATCATCTGTAGGGGAGATAAGACACACATGCTGCTAACAAGAATGCAAGGGGATGTGACCATTTCCACAAAGAAGCCCAGATGAAAAGCTGAGGGATTTTAAAGGAAAACTAATTTATGACTGGCTATGGGAATCAGGGAAGCTCTGTAGAGGTGCTTTGTAGAATTTGTTCACAAAGTTTTCCATGTTCGAATCAGTACGTTTCCAAAAGTATTTTATATCATAGCATTTCAGTAAATAAAAGTAATTGGGTCCACTTGGAATTTATTGGATCCAGATTGTGTGTTTACATGTAGACACTTGCAAACACATACACCCTCATGGACTCCCCAAGAGAACAATCGAGGAAGTCTGTGCGTCTATGATCAGACATTTTCCATTTTATCCTCGTGGGCAGCTCATCCCAAGGGTAACTAGAACAAAGGGTTTAATCTGGACATTAGGAGATTAAGAGAAAATAAAAATAGTGGCCTGAGTCATGAGGAAGCCAATCTTTTTGGACTATCATTGTCTTTCCTGGTTGAAGACATATGGCAGAGAGATTGATTGTTTGATTTTGAAGATGTGTCTCTGATGGAATTACTAAATGAGGGAGGTAAAGAGTGTACAACAGGGTGTATAAATACCTCAATGGGAAAACGGGCAAAGACCTCCACAGGAAAGTTCCAAGAGAAGAAATCTAAATGTCCTGTAAAGGTGAAAAAACCTGCAACCTCAAAGTAACGCAAATTAAGACAATTACAAAAGAAGCCCCTAGTTTTTCACCGTTAGCGTCAGCTTTAAAAATAATCACAGTCATAATTGCCCAAGTTCCACGCGAGAAACACTTCTGTAAACTGCTGGAAGGAGGATAAATTGCTGTAAAATTTCTGGTAAGAAATTTAATAATATATGTCAAGAGCCATAAAGGTTATACCCTTTGATTTGTTCCTCTTGTTGAAAAATCTTTCTTGAGGGAAATTTCAAATATCAAACAAATATTTATATTGGCAATAAAATTGGAAATATCTTAAAGGAACAACAACAGAATTGTAATGTAAATGTAGCATTTTATGCCACCAATAAAAATGTTTACATAGACTATTTAGTGACATACTTAGTGAAAAACAAGGAACACAATTAAATGTGTGGCCAAAATTTATACACACGCATAGGCACCTGCACATGTATGTATATGTACATATCCAAACAAATGAAAAAAATGCTGAGGAGAGAAACTTCTGCTATTAACAAAATATTAACAGTGGTTATCTTGAGTGAGTTTAATTTTTGTATTTTCCTTCTTCATGGCTTTCTAAAATGTCTAATTTTTTATAGTTGGTAAGTATTCATTTAGAAATTGATATCTTGTGCGATTATAATGCTGCTATTCATCGAGCATCTTTTATGTGTCATTGATATGTGAACGTGTCTCGTTCTCCCACCATTTCCTTATTCTGTGCCAGAATTATACTTCAGAGGGGACTTGCTAGGCTGACATAAAACCAAACAATTAATATTTGGATTTCCACACTTTTTGGGCTTAGGAATCATCCCTAAAACTCTCTGTATATAATTATCTATTTTTAATTATTATGTTAAGCCTCTTGTCCTCAACCCACCTCAGCTGATTTACCCTTAACTTTGGAACCAAGGAACAGCTTTCACTACGTGAGTGGACTTTGCTTTTTCCATCTGAGAAGGCACATGAGACTTTTTTACTTGGGGAAGTTTCTCTCTGATTTCAGCTCTACGATGGCCCGCAGTGGATGGGGCGCTACTGTGGAGCAGATATTCCGCTTCCAGGGAGTACCACGGGCTCCAAGCTCCAAGTGCTGTTCCATACCGATGGGGTGGGCCACCGTGAGAAAGGATTTCAGATGCAGTGGTTCATTCACGGTAAGCCCTGCACCCATCTCAGCTGTATTTGGCAGTTGCTGTTTGACCAAGAATTGTTCCCTTTCCAATTCTATGTTGGAAACAATAACATTGACAAATAACGGAACCCTGGTGGTAATCTGGTGCTAGGCCTTAGAAAGTTTACTCAGACATCAGTGGCTCTTGGAAAGTTAAATCATTCTCTTAGGGTTAAGGGAGGAAGTGAAGTCAAAGTGGACAGGCTTTGATAACCACTTAAGCAGGTACAGTGATAAACTGCCTCAGAGAAAGGAGGGAGCGGAATGAAGTTTCCAGGGGTGAAGACCTGTACCTGGGTGTGGCAGGCAAATTGCAAAGTGGGATGGGAGTGGAATAGAATGAGATTTAAGGCTCACTTGCCATTCAGCTGAGGAGGAATGACAGGGATAGAAGGGAAAGAATGAGAGTCAGTCAGAGCAAGAAGCGGGAAGGGCAAGGATTGGGCTGAGAGGGGAGCAGGAGCGGAAAACTTAAGCTAGCGATGCCCTCGGCCAGGGTCATGCCGTGTGTTGTACTTGCCAAACAGGGGAGGGGCTCATCAGAGCCCACCTATGGATTGCTGGTTGAGGAAGCAGGTAGGGATAGTCATTCCTCTGAAGATGAAAATTCATTTTTAACAAGAGTTCTGAAACTTCTAAACTGACCTCGTGTGGTCCAGTCTAAAGGGAGAGGGCCACACAGCAGTGGTTCTCAAAATGTGGTCGCCAAAAGCAACATCAGAGTCACCTGGAATTTGTAAGCAGTGCAAATTCTCGGGCCCCATCCAAGACCTACGGAATCACCAACTCTGAAGGGAGCTCGACAATCTGTGCTTTAACCGGTCTCCCTGGGGATAAAGTTTGAAAACCACTCTCCTAGAGTGATCCAGACCTGAAAAAAATAGTCCTTGTGAATATTTTAGTAGTAGTTCTCAACGAAAGTCTTAGGGCTCACTGGTATGTTTCAATCAATTTGAAAGAGAAGCAGAGTTGCAGTATTATACCAGGCCTCACACACAAACATCGAAACTGTGGCTCTGCCGTCAAGATCAGGGGTGAGCCCAAGCCACGTGCACACGGATGTGTGTTGTGGTTGACTCCTGAGGGTCGTTAACATCATCGCGCCTTTATTATATGAATCTCAGCACTATACATAACTGAGCAGCCCTATTTTATACATAAGAGTGTTAGATGTTCTGTTATTATGAACTGGATACTGAGTGTATTTCTGCTAAAATATAAGTATGTGGTTTTTGGTATTTAAAAGTATTCAGTGGTAATCCACAGGGCCACTTACAGCTTGAAATACAGATTACGAATTCCCAAAGTAAATAAGCTATGATAATTAAGCTTGTGGAAGTCCTG